AAATTCAGTGGAACGACTCTGTTTAGATTTTTCAAAAATTTTCCGTCCTATATCCTTAATAAATGAGTTATTTATTAATGAATTATTTAGACTAGTACTAGAATCAATGGTATTAAAGAATCCATTTCTTGATTTGTTTAAAATTCGATTATTATAAAATCATGGCCAACTACTAAAAAGAAAATGCGAAAAAAATGGCATCAATTCCGAGATCAATTCAATGAAATGGGAATAAATCAGAAACTGTTAAAGATAGCTATAGGAACATGTATAGTCAAAATATGCCAATTTCGATTCTCTATCTCATGGAATAGTAAGAACATGCTTATTCCATTAAAAAAACTGAGTTTTTAGACTTTGAAGTTTCTTAAATGTTGATCTCCATAGGTGCGGTCGTACGCAACTTTTTTTTAAGTACACTCAAAGAAAGCCCTATACATTCTCTATGCACTGATAAAAATTGATTGCCATGACTACAACCGTTTTCTAGTAATCAATTATCAAGGTACCATCTGCATCCGCCATTTTTTTCTTAAAGTCAAAATAACTTAAAAACCATAAATGGTAGATATCGACATATGGGTATCAAAAGAACTGAAATTTCACGTAGAATCCAAAAATGCAATAAAAAATAGGGGTTGCCATTTAAAATAACGAAGTTACTATCTACTTCCGGTGTTTCCGGAAGTGCGGCCATTTTGAAAATATTTTACATCGATTCGGCCTTCAGAGTAAACCCTAAGTACAAATTTTCAAAAACCTACCTATTTTACTTTTCCAGAAACTTTTAACTAAAGCTCCCAAAAAAACACCCTGTATAAATACAATGTTATTACTATACCTACTTATTTTTTTTCCAGGGTTTTGTCGGCTATCTACGATCTCCTGTAGCAGAATGTGTACAGATGAAGGACAGGCGTTACAGGGAACCCCCGAAGCGACATATCCCGACAGAAAACTCATATGAAAACTTTATAAAGAAGCAGAATTCTAAGTACTTAATCGTATGTAATCTACTTTTATTTTCATGATTTAAATACATTCTTTAAACGAATATTTGTTTACTAAACACCCCCCCCCTCCCCTTCTTCAAATCAATATCCTTTTTCATTTGCCTCGGTAGTGAATACTTCTTAAACAATTCTCTGGTTATCAGGAATTTTTCGGTAATTCGACCCATTCATTAGTGTCAAATGTGGTACATACCTATTTGGATCTTGAAAAGTTGTTCTATTTTCCATTAATAATGTTAGAAACCACTCCTTTCAAAATACCAGTAACGAAGCAAGAAACAAGCTTGAATTACCTACATTTTACAAAAAAATTTCTTGCAAGAAACGTTTCTGGCATTCATTCGACTCAGGAAGCCCATCCGGTGGTTTACGTTTATACATTTTCAATGTAAATCTACAACGGAAATCTGTAAAGCGGCGATGTATTCCAAAATTGTATTGTTTTGTTTGTGATTCATTTATGTGAAAGTTTATTTAGCCTCCATTCGACAGGTAAATCAATAATCGTTGTTCGTTCATTTAAAATTGAAAAATAATGTCAACAGCTGGAGACAAGTAACGGAAACTCTTTACAAATCTTACGAACTGCACACGTCTATCCAAAGAAAAATGAAAAGCCCTACACGAAAAATTGTTCACCTAGGTAACTGGTACAACTGGTTACAACAACACTTTTCATAGTGTCAGTATGTAAACGATTCTCATGAGTGAATATTACAACTAAATAGGTACCTATAGTTATTTAGCCAATAAGTGCGTTAATAAGGGCGATTGACAATTGAGACTGAAATTGAAATTAATCAGACGAGAATCGCCAATTAACACACGAAATGAATTTCAATACAATATTTTTGAAAAATAAAATCAAAATGAAACTTATTTTCTAATTTCTGGTACCTAAATTAAAACGCAATCTACACTACATAAGGGCGCAATAGTCGCCTACCATTTCCTCGACGCGACGATTTCGTTTTCCTATATAAAAATCCTCGGACCAATTTAATAACGGAATTTCATCTGCGAGACCATCTGTAGCAGCATGCATCTAGATCCGCACCGGCCGGTCCCTTCATTACTGTATCGTTGCCATGAGGGTAGCTCTCTTAAGATATTTTAGCGTATTTTCCTCAAAGTGAAAAATCGCTATTGGCTGCACTTTGACGTCCGTCCGTCTGTCCGTCACACGTACTCCTAACCCACTGAACCCATTTTGGCGATATATGACTCATTTGAAAGGGCTTGGTCCAAGGATTCCGTGCATACCCATATTTTTTGGTTTAACGCATGTGCAATGCCAACTTTTTTATTTATGAAGATATTTAAATGAAACTTTATATGTAAACTCTACGAATATAAGTAAAATTAACGACATTTTCAAAATGTTGTTTTGCGCATGCGCAATTCCAACTTTCTTATTTATGAAGGCATTTAAATGAAATTTTATACATAGGCATTTGGCATAAAGACAAATCTAACACCAGTTTTAAAATTTGGTTTTGCGCATGCGCAATGGTAACTATATATCTTATTTTTATGAAAGCAGTTAAACGAAATATCATATATAGGCACCTTGAATGAAACTAGAATACCGGTTTCAAAATTACTGTTAACGCATTTAATTTATGAAGGTATTCAATGATATGGGCTATCCGACTACGTATACTTAAAAAAAAGGATCAAACGCATGGAATCATGATACTTAGTATCACGGAAAGGAATATATGGCTATAGTAGGCAACAAAGGATTAGACGCGACAAATGTCGAGGAGCTGTTGTTACAGTTCTGAAACTGTTACCGCCCTAAGAATAAGAAATTTGAACTCTTTTTAGTGCATTTTTGAACGAAGTTTGGTGAGCTATTGCAGCCACTTTCTCTGTCCGTCTGTCTGTCGGTCCGTCCGTCTCTTCGTCCGTAGGAGGCCTTTACTAGAACTACTAGGTACAGTCTTAAATATATTTAGTCCTTTTTGAATTTTGAATTCGGTAGCTTATAGTTGTGGCACCTGAGTCAAAAGAAATCTTGACGATTAATGTGCGCATGCGCAAGATATTATTAGTGTTGTTCGAATTTGTTGTAATTGTATCATATTTTCTGTGTTTCTTATTTCGAAATAAATACCATTTTCCTGAACATCTCTTCAATATTGATCAAAAGTACGTTGGGTGTACTTATGGTGGGCAGTATAAAAAGAAAAAGCAAAACACACTTTGCTTTACTTTATTGGCTTAAATATCTCTACCTGTGTAGAATCATTATTTACTAGAGGTGGTTACATTTTCAGTATGATTGAGGATTGAAGTAATTAGCTGCGGGTGTTGTGCTTCTTTTAATCTGTTTGTTTTACGCCAAATGAATGGCACCTGTTTTAACTCTTATTGCTACTGATGCCTTAGGCAATTTAATAAGAAATTTTCAAAGATCAACATTTATCAAATCTCTAATAATTTAATTAATCTCGAACTGTTCATAGAATTTCATTTAACGATTACTCTTTTTGTTTCAGGCTTCATCCTTCGACCTCTCCGGTGAGTACCTTTCCTGTTGGTTGCGGGAATTTTTTTCAGCAAAATATATACATGAAAAGGTGGTACACGTTGGCGGACCTCGTATATTTTGTGGGTTTCTCCCAACGAAATTTTGTAGGTACCTACTTAAAAAGTTCGAAATAATTCACAAGAATTATATAAGAGTCACGTTTCCGTTCTTTCATTTTCGAACACCTCGGGAAGATATGCCGTTGAATAAAAATCATCAGATGAAAATATTTCTACAAGACAAATTCAAATAATTATACGGAATATTAATGGAATTTAAAGGCGGTATTTGTGCCGTACATTTAAATTCGTAGTTCTGATGGAAATGTGATTTTAATTTTTCTCTCAATTTATGCAACTGCGCGAATTTCCGCAAGACGAAATTTCGATCTGTTGGGTCGCCAATGATGTTTTAAAATTAAAAACTTTCCATCATTTGAAATCATAAAAATGTAGGTAATTTACCTATAAACCCTTATTTTGGCAGCGGATCGATTTATAGTTATTTATTTATTTAGAAGGTAGATAATGCAGAGCTACTCAAAAATTATAGGCTCAATTGTAATCTGGTGAAATTATCATAAGGGTAAGGCTAGTGATTGCATGACGTTATGAATAGACGAAAAATAAGCGTAATTGCTTTGGGGATATCGATATCTGTAACATATGAAGCAAATTTACGGCACCTTAAAAAATTCAGCTCCATCATTCAATAATGTAACTTTTATTTTATTTTAATTTAAAACACATTTCACAAATAATTTCAACACTAACAATAATCGCATCAGTAAATAAAAAATCTGTTCTAACTTGAAAGAGTTGTTAGAAGTTAATACACTATGCATTCCCTCTTTGAATATAGCGATACAAATCTTTTGTTTTAATAATAATTTTGAACGGCTGTCGTATGTTTTAAGTTTAATTAACCAATAGATTCAATGGATGATATAGCTTCTTCCAACCATGGTCCTAGTTTCGACAGCAAAGGGAACGAATAATAATAAGTAATTATCGTTGACGAAGTCCTTATGTTTAGATTTCTTTTAGCAGTTTGTTTCGCAATTGTACCAGCTTCTTTACGAAGCGCGGATTGCATATATGTTGGTGAAAGAGTGTCTGGAACTGTAGCATCCCACATCGTGATTTTCCCTTTACTCCACGGAATTAGATTTGAACCGTCCTGCTCTATTATACGAGTAAAACGTGAATCATTTCTTTACTAATATTTTTCAACAATTTTTTTTCGACTGCTGCAAATGTGTCAACCCCATACCCCAATAGCGAGTGTACCTATGTTGAAACAACGTTTATCAATAATGTTGAGAAACTATACAAAATTACCTCTGAGTATAGGTTATAGAAAAAATAATTATGGCTAGTGAATTTATTCATCTTGTGGACACATTTTTCAAAAATCCGAAGTAAGTTATGTGTTCTATAATCTGTTCACCCAACAGATGCAGTTAAGCCACTCACAATAAATGTTGGCCAATGTAACGACAGACCCGTTTCACAGTCATAAAATTATAAAAACCGGGAAATTTAAAATCGCATGTCACATTGTACGACTAAGTTATAAAGTGTTATGTTTTGAATATTGACCTTTCAACACACAGCAGTACATATAGTTTTAAATTGTTTATTAAGTTCAAAAGGACTATTTTGTTCGTATAAATGAAATTAACGACAAATTGAGGCAAGGCAAGCAAATACAAAACGCAATGACAGGTTTGACGTTAAGGATGTCAATTCAGATACGGCAATTATAATTGGAAGCAAATAGTTGCGTGTGTTACAGGTTTTGAAAATTCGGCCAATTAAAAATGTTCATTTAAATTTGCCGAAAATTTTTTGGGAGGAGCTTAACTGCATCTGTTGGGTGAACATAATATAGTCGATGCGGTTAGGGACTACAACTACCCGTTGATAGTTTAACCGCGTGTGTAAAAAGATAATTCGTGAAAAAGAGATCACTTATTGACAAATTTCTATTAATTTCAAACACACACTTGATTACACTAGAGATGCATCTTTCTTCATTATGTATTTTCGATAAAAATTTTAAATATTTCAAAAATAGCGAATGTCCCAAATATTGACCTACTGCAGGGGTCGGCAATCTGGGGCTCGCGAGCCGCATGCGGCTCTTTTGATATAAAGTTGCGGCTCTCCGTATTTATCTAAAGAAATTACTTCATTTGTTCGAAATTCGCTTTTTTAATTAATCTTATTTGTTTACCAAATCAAAAGTACACTTGCAGCAAATAATTATCTAATTTGTGACACCTGTTTACCTTTACTTTCTTGTATTCTTTTGTTTTTTTATTATAGCAGCCTACTCCGATGTATAAACACGTAATTAATTAATGAGTAGGTACTTTTGTGAAAAATATTGAATAACATAAAAACTGCGGGGTTTAAGCACAGGGCACCCCTTATAAATATTGAAGAGAACGCAAAAGACAATCGAATAGCGAAATAAAACAGTAGTAGTTCCATTTGAAAAAGAATAGTTATAGCAGTTTGAACAAATGGCATTGAAACAAGTAAAAATATGCAGGATGTTCTATTTAAAAAGATCAGTTATTTATTGACATCGTAAAAATGGGACACCCTGTACATGCAAAAACAATTTCTGTAGATCCGCAACCACCAATATTTTTTACCAGGTATCAGCTATGTAGGAAAAACCGACGCATTGTTGCAGGACCCTGTATATAGCCAAATACTATAATATTAAATCAAAATTTTTTTGTGGCTCTTTCAAAACTGGGAAATTTTATAAGTTGTAATTTTTGGCTCTTCTGTTTCAATAGATTGCCGACCCCTGACCTACTGGAATTTATGATGTAAACGTCTTTGGGTAGGTATTTGAGGCACGCTGAAAACTTGTCCAATACTTCTCCAATCATACCCAAACACAGAATTGCAGACCTGGCTGAGGAATAGCAGGCACTTTGCCAGGCGCCTTCAAAGTTTGAAAAAATAATGTACCCTTGAAATCAGGAGTGTCTGTGGCCCTGCGTCATTGATTTGTGAATCATTTTAAGACATACGCTAAAACGTTGTAACAACTATCAAATTTGCGAAATCGATAAAAAAACTTGAGTAGAATGCCGACACTTACCCCCACCACTTTCTGTGACGTCACGGAGACCTTGGGTTTTTCCCAAGGTCGTGGCCTTGGGTTTTTCCCAAGGTCGTGGCTTTGGGTTTTTCCCAAGGTCGTGGCTTTGGGTTTTCCCAAGGTCGTGGCCTTGGGTTTTTCCCAAGGTCGTGGCTTTGGGTTTTCCCAAGGTCGTGACCTTGGGTTTTCCCAAGGTCGTGACCTTGGGTTTCCCCAAGGTCGTGGTTTTGGGTTTTTCCCAATGTCGTGGCTTTGGGTTTTCCCAAGGTCGTAGTCTTGGGGTTTTTCCCAAGATCATGGTTTTGAGGTTTTTCCAAGATCGTGACTTTGGTACAGGATCATGGTCTTGGATCCTGGGGCAGGGTTGTGATTATGGATTCTGGATCAAGGTCGTGGTCTTGGATGCTGAGTTGAGATTGTGTGATTTGGATTCTGGGATTTGAGTTTGGACTAAAATTGTGCTCTGGGATTTTCCTAGCGAATTTAAAAGAGAGAGGTGTAGAGAAAAATAAGAGATGCTGTATTACAAACCTAATCTAAGTACATACTCTTAGAAAATGGTAATCCATACATTTCAAATTTTACAAAGAAGAAGAAGAGGAAAAAGCAAAGCGAGAAGCAAGCAAAACAAGAAAATATTTGTGTACTTACTTTTTCTTAGTTTTTGTTTGAAAATCCTTGTTTTTCCAAGTTTATCCACACACACACACACACCCTCCCTAACACATAAGAAAGAGAGAGATGCACAGATTAGCACTGTATAATTACGTAAACTGCAGTAGATTATGCGAGTCTAATAAAACTTGTAACAATACGTTAGGTGATGTTAATGAGTCGGTAGTCAAATACTAACTGAAATTAGAGCGTACATTTCTTATTTGGGTATTTCCCGAGGCCATTGCAATGGGTTTCCTCAAGTCATGGCCTTGGACTATGAACTTGTCGTAGCATTGGGTTTTTCCCAAGGTCATGGTCTTGGACTTTGACCTCCCCAAGGTCATGGTCTTGGACTTTGACCTCGAGTTTTTCCAAGGTCGTGGTCTTGGACTTTGACCTCGAGTTTTTCCAGGGTCGTGGTCACGTAGTCGACCGCTATGCTTTAAACCATATTTATGAACCTCACTCAAAAGGGATACTTTTTTATAAAAAATCAACCGATCTTTAAACGATTTTAACTTGTCTTTATTAGTATCAACCCTTAAATGTAAACAAATTTATATTACAAAACGTAGCAGTATACAATAAACGGATGATGTCGTCGTTAGACTTTAAGTTATCATTAAACATGTTTACAAAATCGCTAGTGGCAACATTATTCATTTTAAAAACTAAGTACATCAAGCAATATTGGCCACAAAAAGTCGAAAGGGGATGTTGTAACATTTTATAGTTACATGTAAAACGTCTAGAGTTGGCTTTCAAAAATTTTAAATGAAGGCCACATGGAGACCTTCCGAAGGAATCAAAGAATTCGCCAATTCCATCTTTATCGATGTAGATAGCGTTCCAATGTTGACCAGGTCTGGTGGAAACATCTGTATTGACTATAAGTCCATATGGACGACGAATAAATTTTGGTAATTTATCAGCTGCAAAAACACCAGGCCTTACAGAATCCTGTATGTGATTCAGGGCTCGTTGAAGTTCTAGGGAATTCATCGGTGGAGCTAATTTGGGTCCATTCGTATAGCATTAAAGCGTTTTCTTGCGAGCACATTAAAGTTTCACTGTTATGATTCAAGCACCTAATGCCTCCAAATTCTTTCTTCAGCTTCTTTAAAGAAGGGCATCCGCAATCCTCTGCATTTATTATAGGTTTGTTTAGGAAATTTAGAATGTACTGCTTCTCTAGTCCTTTAACATA